ACAGTATATCATTAATTAAACAATTCCATTTTTCTTTGGTTAAAGTGAAGAATATGAAAGATATAGGATTTCGCTTATTTTCCTTAACATGATTCAATCATTTATGGCATCAATCACAGCGTTCTTTTACATAAAATTTACCGGACAAAATCTCAAGGTGGTTGATTTAACCTTGATAAAAAAATTCTTATTAGTAGCATTTCTTGGAGCTATAGCATCACCATTTGGATATGAAAGTTTAAAACATATCGATTATCCAACTTTAGTACTTGGAAAATCATGCAAATTAGTACCGGTTATGCTTATGAATATAGTTCTTTATAGAAAAAAATTTCCATTTTATAAATATGTTGTTGTAACATTAGTTACACTTGGAGTATCATGTTTCATGCTTCTTCAACCAACATCAGAAAAAAAGAAAGCAACAGAACCTAGTTCATTATATGGTATAATATTACTTACAATTAATTTACTTATTGATGGAATCACCAATTCTACACAAGATCAAATATTTTACAAGTACAAAATTACGGGCCAACAAATGATGTTTTTCATGAATTTATTTAGTGGACTTTTAATGTGTTGTTGGTTATTAAATCCATGGAATCCAGAACTTTTTAATGCTTTAACATTTTGTAAACTTCATCCTAATGTAATTGTTGATATTTTATTATTTTCTTTATGTGGAGCATTAGGACAATGTTTTATATTTTACACATTACATAATTTCGGATCATTATTTTTGGTCACTATAACTGTTACTAGAAAATTTTTCACGGTATTATTGTCCGTATTTGTATATAAACATATTTTAAATATTGGACAATGGCTTTCAGTTGGGTTGGTATTTTTAGGAATTGGGTTAGAAGTATATATGAAACAGACAGAAAACAAAAAATTACAAAAGAAATTTGATGATGCAATGCCGGGGGAGAATCGAGAATTGGAAAAATCAATAGATGAGAAAACTAATAGAAAACAAGCTAATGGAATTGTTGATAAGATCAAGAAGGATAAGTAAGACTTTATAATAGAAGAAAAATTAGAATAATTAGATGGTACAATTAGATATTAATAATTTCAAACAATTAAAACCAATTTAATAATTTGTAATTTTTCTTTAAATAATTTGTAATAAATTTAAAATTTATTAATTAATGTTTTTCATCTTTCTTTTTATAACATGATCGGATGTATGATCGGATGTTAGTATGATCGGATGTTAAGTTGATAATTTCGCGATGACTTGATCAACATCTCTAAAAATCCAATTTCCAAATGCCATAGATCTTGGCCAACTACATGTTACAGGTTTTGATAGAACGTGCATGTGAACATGCAAGACCGTATTGAATGGTGGAGAACCGAATCCCATCCTGTAAAATAAATAAAAGATTTACCTTACAGTTTGTAAAAGATGAGATCGGTTGATGCTGAGATTTGGTATCTATTCTTTTATTAAACTTGCTAAAATCTTGTTAAAATTCTTTTATTGACTGTCCAAAAAATTTTAACATTAAGAAGTAGTCCACAACTGAAGGGTATAAATTTCATAGTAAAAATCGGTGGGCATTTACTAGTTACCTTATATAGTAAATGGAATCCCGTATGATTCAAATCCCTATAGTAAAAAATCGAAAAATACTCATATCTCATGAACTACCCAACCGATTTTAACCATTAGAATCAGAAAATTTAGTTCTACAACTTTTATTGGATTACATAATAAAAAAATACTTTTATATGTAATCTTTCCAGATTCCCGTACTATAGAAAAAACATGAGTTTCTGATTTTGTTTATTATAAGATTTGCTATTTTTTTTTTTTACCCCTTCAGAAGCGAACTACCCCTTAATATATCTTATTAAATAGATTCACTCAGCATCAGCCCATCAACAACATCTATTATATTATATATATATATATTGTTTTTTCAGGAAATAAAAAACTTATTATGGTAACCTACAAATATTTATCAGAGGTAATCGGTGATTCATCGTTACCAAGTTTTTCGGAAATTAAGCGAAATCCTATATCTTTCATATTCTTCACTTTAACCAAAGAAAAATGGAATTGTTTAATTAATGATATACTGT